AAAAATGTCCCTGCAAGTTAATACTTACTAGAAAAATGGAGGTGTTAAATAACAAGAATTTAAAGAATATGATTATTTGGTTAGTTTATCTACTGAATAAATATCGCGGTAAACTCACCTGTATACCTGACGCCAGTAGTGTCGCCTCGTCGTCCCCTATACAGCACTCTGGAAATACAACACGAAGATATATTATATGTAATTCACTTTGTCTTTTTTGGAAGCCCGACTTAATTACGGCTAAATTTACACGTTCACTTGAAGGACAATTGTATGACATAATAGATCGTCTATGAAGGATGAGGAAAGAAACCCATGGCGGTAAGTAGTTTCTTTTATTAAGACATGGTGATTTCTCGCTTCGGCCTTTCTCTGCTAGAAATAAAAAATACGACCCCAAAAACTCAACTCCGATGGCCTTACCTCAATACTAACAGTGGATGTATTTCTGAAATTGAACAAAGGAGAAAACACGTCTAAGGGAATCCAAAATGTTCTATGCGGTAATCCTTTTTGTTCATACACTTTGTTATAGAACTGTTACTGTACTTGTTTTTTGTTTTTGTTTTTTGGTGGGGTTGACAGTATAATGGCACTGTGTGAGACGGCCACCTGACTAAGAAGGCCAATTTTCTCCTCGAAAATATAGCCGCCTTCGACAGTTTACGGTCCTATACAACCAAGAAAACTTTCTCTCTAGTACAATAAAGTATTATCTTATCTTATCACATCTTTTAGAAAAATAAATCACCTGAGAGGTTGAGCTCCAGTAACCAATGGTTGTGAGAGAGCGCGGCACTACAAGAGGAAGCACCTGTGTCGTCCATGTTGCTGCCACTCACGTCCTTTGGGGGTTGGGGGGATAAACACACTTGATTGTGAATACATTCTTTTGTTTGTTTGTTTGGGATCCGGGGGGGGGGGGGTAAGGAGTAGGGAGATAGATGTTGACGCACAACACTAGACCCTACTGCTTTAGACAAAGAAACAATGACATTGAAGGGGGTGTTCTTTAACTGTGTCAAGAAACTGGACTGGTACTTATTGAGCTGGGAAAATTTACGGGATAGAAGAAAAATAATTTAGACAAGACTCCGATTCACATACATCACAAATTTTACTTTGTTGACTAAAGTCATAACCAACAGTACCCAATGGCCAGGGTGAGAGGGGAATAATTCTTGGACTTGGGAAGGTGGGAACTGCTCGTGAAAACTCCAAAATCGATATCCCTTGAAAAAATATAGCAACAATGATATATTTATGTTAGTCAGACATAAAAGAATAAATTCAAATAATTATTTATCATTACAAGTACATGGTAACCATGGTAACCAAACAAACGTCCGCCATATTGGATAATTTTATCAAATTTCATAAGCTATCTTCTCTCTTATTTTACGTCTGTTGGCTTCCATTTTTAGCAAGTATAAACTATAACATCTATGTAATATACAAATAACGCCAGATTTGTAATATTATGATTATGGAAATAATTATGGGCTCTGGAAATATGTAAAATTGACAAATACCAAAAACCCTCGAAATTCCCAACAAAAACACAATCTATTTTCTTATTATCTAAAAAAGGGCTCTATTTCAGTAAAAGGTCACCTATGAACACACATTGTGTAAAACAAAGAAGCCATTCAGATTAAAGATAACAGAGAAGACGTAATTTGAATTCGGAAAAATAAATATGAAAAAAAATGAAGAAAATATTTTAAAACAAGACCCAAAATGGCAAATCATTTTTAAAAACCCATTTTTACGCGACTTCTAAACATAATTGACTAAAACGGTCGCTTAAAACTTCTCTGGAAATGGATTTAGGTTTTAAAAATGGAGAAAAAAGTGCATGGTCAAACTGGGGAAAAATGGGGGAAATTTTGCCCGCAGAATGGCTTAATGATTTCCCCAGTAGCTGACGCCAAACTTTCCTGGGTTGGTCGACTTGGTAATTACAGTACAGTCGAGAGGCCACGTTTCGATAAAAATGTATGGCATTATTGGCAGTATTGATAAGCAGCTTCCTTTCTCAGAGAATTTGAATTTCATACCTATTGGTCTAAATGTGACGAAACAAAACTTGGAAAACTAATATGTAAGGAACAGACTGGGGACAAGAATTATACTGGGGCTTTCAAATTCATTAAAAAGAAACCAGTCAACGAAGTGAGTGGACGAAGTAAATCATTCTACAGGTGGCAATCAAGGAAAAGGCCAGGATCTAACCTTACGAGAACCTCAGATGCACATTGGAAAGAGGAAGACGAAAGGAAGTACAGTACTAAGAAGAAAAGGAAAATGAGGAACAAAGGGCGAAACTGTTTCATGACATCTTCAGTAGCGAGCCCTGTTTGCAGTCGTCATAAAGAGTAAAACTGCGTGAGAAAAGGGTTATGTATGAACGAATAAATAGCAAAGAAGGGGACATACTGCTGGACCCCCTACCCGTCAACCTCAGAAAACACCCGACTATGAACTGAGTGCAGTCTGATTTCAATTAGTGTTTTACACGAAGTCCACGAGTGCAGATGACAAAAAGGCATCCCAAAACGAGGACTTCACCGCACTTAAAAGTTCAAGCTTCTTTCCAGAGTGGGTACGGAATGTTTTACAAAGTCGTAGCCTCATTTATTGCCCTCTCTACCTCGAGTGCCAAATGTGTACAATTGGCACGCGTTCAACATGAGTTACATGTAAAATGTGTCTGTCAGGAAATAAACTAGAACAATATCTTTTCCAATCTCAAAACATCGAGTGAAAATAAAGGCAAAAAATTCCTCAAGAGTATATTTTTCCTGAGCACTACCGCTTACCAGTGACGTGACGTTTGGCTTGTTCCGCACTGCGTCAAATACATAACACAGGGCTTGTCCACTCAAACTGTTGTGAGACACGTCCACTCTTGTCACTCGAGAGTTCCTCTGGGGATTCACATGCATACAAACATAAAAAGGGAGCTCTGGTGGCACAGAGGTTAAGGTGTTCGCCTCTCATTCAATAGGTCCCTGGTTCGAATCGGGATAGCGACGGAAAATTTTCTTCTCTAAAATTTTCTCCTCTAACATCCTTTTCAGCTGTCTAACAATGTTCTGTCGTCTGCTTCCGTCTCCACTTTCTACCCACACTCCTCACCCCCCTTTTCCTCTCCTCTGGGCTCCTGACTCTTTCTGCATCATTTCTACTGCTACTCCTCGGCTCCTTCTTAGTGCTGTCTTTCAGCCACATCCCTGATCTACTAATAGGAAAGATCTACACATTGTCTTCTCAAACAAGGGCGAAAAATCTCTGAGGTCCCGTGTGCAAGTTGCGCGCATTTAAGATCCCTTGGTGGTCCAAAATTATTAAGAGTAGGCTTTGGCCGCCATTCGAGCAAAATTCCAAATTTCCTACCAACTGAAAATGTTTAGTGTGCTCATATTATGACTTTATGAGGTTGCGAGCGCCGTAAAAACTTACCAAAAAAAACAACCACCCCCCCCCCCCCCCCTTAGAAACTGAAAGCACGTTGAATGATTGTATTTTTTTTCCCCCCCCCCCCCCCCCCCCCCCCCAAAAAAAAAGAAAAAAAAAAAAATCAAACATTGTCGACAAATATCATTTTGGAATCGGGTTGCTTCGATCCCTCTTGCTAAGAGCAACCCAGACTGAGTCGGATAGAGAGTGCCATCATTAATATAGGGGAATAGGCCTGCGCAATAAAATAACATCCACACTCAGGAATCAAGCCCATGTCCTCTGCGTGCTACGACAAGGTACAAAGGCGTTACACCCTTGGTTGCACCGAGTATGGTCTATGGTGTAGCGTTAAGTCATACGACACAGTGATGTTACGAACAAAAAAAAAGAAGAAAAAAAAGAGGAATTTCTACTTGCACTTCGTCTGCGACAGAGAAGAGCCACATTGTAGGAAAATAAGGAAATTCCATGAAAAGGACATTTTCACAGTGCCATATTCAGGATTAAAACCAACCACACTGATAGTAGTCCAGTCCAGCACAACACAACTTTACTGAAAGGTCTCACACAAGAATTTCGTCGACACAATTAAGATCACTTGGGGGGGGGGGGGGGGGGGTTGGTTCGACCGAGTCGTCTGTTAGTGCCAAACATGACTAAACAGGATATCGCGTATCAGCTGATAAACGCGATAATTTGATAATATTATAACTTCTCTACACGAGAATCGAACTCACGACAAAAACTGTTATGCCACACACGCCTCTGTCTATTGTCGACAAGTAAAGTAAACCTCTAGCCTGGTTGGACAACGATGCTCCACTCCCTCTCCTAGCTACTCACCAGCAGTGCCAGAGCAATGGCCTTGACCTCCTGAGCGAGCAGCCCACAGTGACGTAGTTCCATCTTGTCTCCCCATAGCTGAGTCAGTACCCGACGTCTGACCTTCACCTTCAACTTCCCACACTCTCTCTCGTACGTAAGATGTCCAATGTCCACCTCCTGTCTTAAAGAGCTCTGACGATGCTCACTTTGGCGGAAAGCAGAATCGACTGAAAGTAATAGGTAGGTGGTTGGCAGGCGCTCTAGTGTAGTTTACTTCTACTATCCTATCAAACATCTATCGTCCAAATAACTCCTCCTTTTCCTTGTAGTATGTATATATTACTCTGTAGTAACACATTTAATCTTCGACATTTATATTATACCAATTAATTTGGGTTACAAGAGCCGTAAAAGGCTTACTAAAAAATACAAAATTAATAGACTTTGATAATATTAACAGTTTCCCATCTCCATCTTCACACTTTAGATCATTATAGAGGCAGGCTGCTTCAATCCTAACCTTTCCGTGCCAGCCCGACCTGAGTGGGATTCGGAATACAGGCAGACATAATGCAGATACCCGAAGGGGGGAATCGATCTAACGTCTGTATTCAACAGATAGGAGCTTAACTTACACAGCAGACGCCAGACAAGCAACATAGGAAAGCTGAACTGTTATTCAACATACAGCAAACAAGTAAGATTTTTAATTTTTTTAAAATTCGTGTGCATTTTGCTGCTAGCGTTCACCACTTTCTATCTTCTATACACTTAAGACTATTAAGAGTCAACAAATAACGCCTCTTTGTGTTGATCTGTTTGACTTTGAACATGTTACTGCCATACATATTACTTTCGGGGGAAAAAAAAACACCAAAGAGGTTTTTCACCCCCACCCCCCTCATACTCACGCTCAGGCTCACAGTCCGTGTCGTACTCATCGCTGCTGTCCTCCTCTTCCTCGTTTTCATCCTTCTCACTCGCGACATCACCTGGAAGTGAGACGTCTTCTGGGTCCCCGCCCGTTGTTTGACGAGAACCCTCAACGCCGAGATGTTTTCCGTCAGACGACGGCCTGCCAGCCACTGGTCGATCCTTCATCCGGGGCCTGAAGCCTTCGGGCGTAGTTTTTGGCCGTGCGGGGGTCAAAACCCGCAGCGAGTTCCTGTCTCTGGACTCCCAGTGGCCCTCATGACTTTGTTTTTTGTCCGCAGAGTCTGAATCCCGCACCGGCTCAGAATCAGATTGTACGTTATTAGGATCTGAGGGGGATAGGTCTCCTAGGTTTTGGCCACTAGTCACTCGATGCTGGCCGTGTTGCGTGTCGTCTGTTTCACGTTTTCTATTATCGTTTATCTCCGGCCTTGCACCCTTAGTGTTGTCTGCATCATGTATCTTATCTTTTAGGTTTGTCTCCTCCTTACGTTTTGCGTCTGGCGAGCGTGACGATGACTCATCGGCGAGAATCTTCGTCTTGCTTTGCTGCTGACCGCACGTCTCCTCAGCTAGTCCAGACTTCTTGGAGTTTTCTGCGTTGTCAGGTGACTCAGTGCGATGACCACCATTGTCTCCTGTGTCCGCAACGGAGTTTAGTGCGACCTGAGAAACCCGAGCTGACAGAACGCGCCCTCGCTGCTGAACCCTGAGTGGAGAAATGAACAATATGGACTCATTTCAATGCGTACGCCAGGTGTATGGGTGGAAGGCGCGGCTGGTATGTAGTTCTACCTCACTTCACTTGCCTGTGTCGTTTTGGTCTATATTATGTTTTGTGTGCCATTAGTTCAGTTTTCATCATGCTGAGCTCTGGAGATGTTGGTTCAAATCCTCTATTGGTTCTTGAACTTTGATTGTTTCAAAAGTTATCAAGCCTCGCAAACTATTAAGTCTGTACCCAGTTATACCGACAGTGGTATAAGATTTGTGCTCCTAGCAGGTTGAATGGGGCGTTAAACACAAACCATGCATAACATGCAGGTCCCATGAGATACAAAGACATTGTTCTTTGAGGGCGGGAGGTTGGGCAATATGGTGAAAGAAAATGAAAGAGAGGGTAAAAGAGAGACAACACAGCAAAGTGAACTCCATGTAAACTTATATTTTACTGCACATCAGAACCTCAGGGTCCATGGGATTTATTCTAACTTTACCAGCACAGGTGTTGCAATCCCAATAGATACGTGATACGTCGTCGGTCTAATGTTATCACCCGTCTGTTCTGTTATTCTTTTCTTAGCTCTGACTGACAGCTATCGAGTCAATGTGTTTCTATTGACTCAAACAAACGTACAAAGAAACAAAATTGAATGACACGACTGATTTAAGTAATTTCGCAGCTGACTAAATCGACCACCATATCCTATAGATAGTTATACAGGGGTTTCAACTAAAATTCCTCTGGCGCAACTGGGGACAGAATACGGGTGAACTTCAGCGGCATCAAGAATTCCATTTAAAATGACTTGAATCATACAAATTGTGACTTCTAAATCTTTACTAACAGAGCTCCAGAACATAAACGGTTCTTTGAAAATGATATTATGCTTCTTTTACCTACTGCTTGCTGTCAGAGACTGTAGTGCTTCCTCTTACATAGCTCAGCCATATTTGGCCTGAAGGAGGGCAGCACTAGCACTTGACTTTGATGTCAAATAGGGGCCGCAAAATATCATCCTTCTGGTCTAAATTGGCAACAAGCTGCATGTTTGAGAACCTTGTATTATGGGCTATTGGTATATTGACAAAAGTTAGCAGAACTTACCTCCTCCGACCCCTGCTTGACCACGTCCTGTGACGCCTGACCACTTCCTTGTCAGGTGGGACCTTCCAGAAGGGCAACCCACTCACTGGGTCAATGTCCTCCTCGTCATACTCCGACTTTCTGGACAGGCATCTCTCCATCTTCCTCACACTCGACTGTCCATACGGGTCGTTGGAAAGTGCCGCTGGTAAGCCCTATTTTATTTTCTTCTGTTGTTTCTGATGTCTTCCTAGCACAAATGACTGTGAGCGTGTCGATGTGCTTTTTTTTTATTGCTCAACACAATGTATTTACTTTTCCTGAGAAATGTAATTTATTGATTTTAATTTCAGAAAGGAGCAGTGAAAGCTGGAAATAAGAAGGGGCCTTTCGAACCGACGTCTATCTCAGATGGGAAGCCATGATGAATTTTAAATACTTCATGGTTTCCTTATGGTTTGCTATGTTAAGAAAGGTCTCTTTAGAGCTGACCCTTCAACGTAACAAAGAGGGCAGAAGACTATCTTTGAGCTAAAACTCTCATCAACAATCACCGATATTTTAAAGTGGTATTTGGTAGAATCTTCTAATTACCAGAATGTTATTAACGCTGTTGATATGATTTTAGGGCTATGGTGCTGATTGGCCTATTTCGATTCCCAAGTATCATGTTCTGGTTACTAGGATTTTAGGGGAGTTTCAAGATTTTCTGCTTGTTTGGCTTGGTCCTAATGGAAATGGACCTTTAATTTGGAGGTCTAAATTTCCCCTTAAAGAGCTCCCAATTTAGTATGGGGCGGTATACCTTTACAACTACGAAACCAACCGCCAGTTCACATACATTTCCTGCTCATGATTAAATCCATAAGAAGACATACAAGCCAAAACCTTTAGCTTCTCTCAGTCATCTGACATTTACGACATGATACCGAGAGCATATCTTTGACATTTGTAAAGTTGTGTGAGCTTTCTATTTGGGGTACACAAGACCAACTTTACGCTTCAAACACTCGCTCATATTTCTTTTATTCCACTTTAGTTCACAAAGTCCTTAAGCCACAAATTCCACCATCAGTTCAGATATGATAATTCTCTGAAGTGGCCTTTTTGCCACTTTTCAACTTTGTGTAATTAACAAAATGTTAAGATGATGCCGACAAGCATTATTATTCCATGTCGCGGTAGTTGTTGTATGAGTGTCACTGTCTTTTCCACAAAAGCTTTTCTCAAATTCAGAAAATAACGTCCTCCTTATTATTCCTCTATTCGGAATCAACGTACCACACAGTAACCATGCAGAATGGTACAGCAGACTGCATTGAACAGAGCTCACTGTCGTTTGTGGGATATACACCTGTACCGTTGGCTATTAAACATATGGCGCTGAAATACCAGCCCATAGAGAGCTTCTTCCAAGCGCAGATGTCGTCCCTCGGGGAATCTCTGAATCAATGGCGCCGTAAATCGAAAGACGAAGCGTTATTGAAAGCAGGCGAACGGCTCGTAAAGAGACACATAGACACCTCAACCAGTCTGTCCCCGCCCAGTCTCTTCTTCCTCATCGGCACAACCCGTACTTCTCAATCTCATTTTCTCCCATCGACCCCTCCTCTTTTTAGCTTCCCACATTTCTCCCCTCACCCGCCACCCCCCCTTTTTTTTTACGGTCTCATTACTTTCCATTCCCCCTTCCTCAGCTCAGGACCGCCTTTCCCTTGCCCCCGCCTTCTCTCTCGTGTTCACGGTTACCTCCTGTCTTTGGCTCTCTTCACGACGAATCGCTGTGCGATAATGCCGTTGACGTAGATCTTATTCAATATTCCAAAAAACAAAAACAAAACAAACAAACAACAACAACAAAAACAAAACTATCACCACTTCCACGCGTTTTGCACTGTATAATTCAGAACAATGCAAAATAAAAGTACCCCACACAAAACTGCTTGATCTTCATGGGAATGATATTATGATGGGGAATTCCCTTCCAACGCGAATAGATTAAAATATGAAATCCCATGAAAGGTACAGGACTTGTGTGAATAAAAAAACTACAGTAACGATATCGTATATAGCTCAGAGAATGTCATATAGATCACCCTTTTAAGTTAAACAGTATCCTTATACTTCAATTTGCATCTTTCAATACTTAATCTTAATTAGTGAGGCTACCCTCTTTCCTGTACGAAGCTGATCTTTCATTCGTGGAGTGCTTCTCTTTTCCAGCTCTGTAAAACCTGTATATTCCTCTAAAAACAACTTAAAAGCACACATGCTTTGTCTATTATGGCATCAATATTACCGTTAATCACCATACTCCGAACCAGAATGTCCAAATTTTTCGAAAACCCCAAGTTAATTCGTCTGACTTCGCACCGAGCTTGCTGTTGAGCTGGGATTTGCGCTATACAAAAGCAATCTATTATTGTTGTTATTACTACTTCTATTCCTAACAAAATCGATCCCTCTATTAGAATGCATCACATTAAAGGTCTTTTAAAAGTTTCTCCAGTCCAAAGGCACATTATTATTCTCTAAAGGAAGAAACAACAACTTTTGTCTTTTAAGTTTCTCCAAAGGCAAATTCTCTAAAGAAAGAAACAACACATTTTTCAATCCGATACATACCACTTAAAGAGTGTCTTTAAAATTCTTCCAACTACATCTTCACTTAAGACAGAAATAAACAAAATATAGAGTAACAGAGGGTAGTCCAAGCGGGAGAAAACTAATAATATACTGAAGCCTTTCTTTTGTCAGGGAAGACCTACAAGTATTGTGCATACATTGTGTCAAGGGTTGTCCTGGTAAATGAGCAGGTGTCTAGGACAGCTGACGACATCTTATTGGCGGGGCGGGGTTGACGGGGTTTGGAGGCCCTACAAGTCCTTTATGATCCAGTGGTGCATTCTCAGAGAGAGAGAGAGATAGAGATAGAGAGAGAGAGAGAGAGAGAGAGAGAGAGAGAGAGAG